TGTGTGCATATAATTTCAGACTATTAGGAGGAGTCAAGTTATTCGAAGTCAAAGAGGAAAAACAAATGTAGATAAATATATCAATTCAGGAATGGTTGTTTAGAAGTAGACTCTTATTTTGTGATTCTTTTATGATATATATTCCTCAAAATTTTTGAGGAACCGATGAATAGTTACTTTCAATTCATGTAGGAGTGACTACCCTAAAAAAATCTTATAATTGTTTTATAATTAAACATGTTTGGAAAATAAATTTAAGCCTCGTTTTTAATTAAGTCAAATTTATTGTTAAATAACTCTTGGGACATGGAAACCTATTCATATTTTCTAAGATAAGAACAGCTGTTAATACTCTGATTTCACATAATCCATGTGATTATATATTTCCATTGAGAATAAAATATGCTACCCATTATTTTGAGAGTGCACAATTTTTACAAAATGCATTAATTTGATTTATTCATCAAGTATCTAATAACCTCTCCCATGTTCCAGACAAGCCCAGTCATAGGTACTGGGGATGCAATGGTGAACATGAAGAATGGCTTTCTAGGCTGGTAGGGGAAGAAAGACAAATATAAATTACAATAAAGTACAATAAATGGATGGGGGAAATACTTAAGGAGAGTGCGGCACCCAGCACACAACCCAGGGGGGTGCAGGAGAGGAGGGTTAGGGGAGGTCAGAAAAGGCTCCTTGGGGGAAGTGATGTCTAAGGTGAGACCTAAGGGATAAATAGGAATTAGCCAAAGACAGGTGCTGGGGTGGGAGTGGGGGCAGAAGCAAAGGAGCTTTTTCCACGCTTAAGTAGGAACAAGTTCAAGGGTGAGAAACCCAGAGACAATAGGGCAGTTTGAAAGCAGCTAAGCAGACAAAGCTCTAAATTTGGGAGTCAGGAGGATTGGGGTCTATCCCTAGCTCTGCTACATCTGAGACATATGTGAGACATTGGGAAAGCCACTTAACAGCACGAAATCTCCTGGCAAGATGCGTTTTCTGATTGATTCAGTTACTACTCCTCTACTTCTCGTGAACAGCAGCCATTGTCAGCCCTTATTTCTCTGGATCACGTGTCCTAGCATTCTGGTGGTTTTTTCTTTTTGTCTGCCTCAGGTTTATTTGTACAAATAGCACAGGAGGACAGGGTCACACCGGTCCTTCTGTCCTCACATTGGCGGAATTCATCAAGACATTCTGTCCTCACAAAGGCCTCTACTCTGGAGCCTTTGTGAGGGCCTGGGCATCTTTGGGAGCCTAAGCCTGAGCTGGAGCCGGAGCTGGAGCCACAGCTGCAGTTGGCTTGGACTTGGTTTGAGCCTTGGCCTGGGACTTTGGCCGGCAGAGCCTGAGACCCTTGGCGATGTGGGCACGAGCATGTTTCCCGAGCTTGGGGTGAGCAATGTAGGCAAGTCGCCTGAGGTTTGCGGCTGCCACCCTTTAGGAACTTGGGCTTGAGCATTCTGGTGTTTTGTAGCCAGAATTAAGTTTAAAAACCCCACTGTTTGGCGTGTTAAGTGGTATCTTAGGACTCTGAAACCTAAATGTAGTTTTCTTTCTACTCCTAGTACTGTGTTTTCTATTTTTTAGGATGTTAAATCAAATAAGCATCTCTCCACCCCTTAATCCTAAACACTTAATACCAGCCACTTACCTATGGCTAATGTAACAACCAGCAGAAAATTTAAAAAATACCAGACACTATCCTCTGAAATAATTTCCCTTGGCACAAAACTTACCTTTCCTTGTCTTCTCTTGCCTTTCAGGTAATTAACTCTTCTCTTTTTAGTTTGAACTATGCAGTGTAAGATTCCTCTGGAGTCATTCCAAGCGGCAGGTAAAAAAAAAAAAAAAGCAAAAAAAGCAAAAATACCTTTATTTATACTGCATATACTTGAAAGTGTCATTTGGTTTCCTCACATGACATGCCAGCAGCATTTTGTTTTAGTTGGGAATTAGGTGAACGGTAGTTGGGCCAACTCAGTGAATCATAAAACCTGCTAATTAGAGCTGGAAAATGGTTTTTGGCTATGCCCTCACTCTTATTTAATGTCTTGATGAATTCTGACCATACTGCTTGGACTCTGTTAAGAGAGGGAAAGTTATGCCCCTGTTATCACTTGATGCAAATATGCTCATTAGAAACAAGAAGAATTTCCAACATTTAAATCCTTCATTTACTTAGTATCTTATCACACTCGAAAATTCAAATGCAGGTTATGTATTTGTTAATTAATATCCAGATCTCAAAACCAGCCACTACTTCATGTTCTTTTAAGTTTCATTCCCTGAATTTGTTCTATTTTTCTTAATAAAAATCCAAACTAACACCTATTTTTCTCGAAAACTGCATTTTCTGTAGTGGCTTAAACTCAGTTTTTCCTGGAAATAACAAAGCGAAAATATTTTAAAGAATAGGTGGTCTTCCAGGGGTGACAGTTGGTGTTTCAGCACCTGCTTTTACACCTGGGAGTAAGAGATCAGAAGTGGTTAAATCTCTGTTGTTTGCTTAATGGGCCAGATTTCATACATAATTCTCTCTTGTTGTCTTTCACTTTTTCCATTAGGTGAAGCCAGCAAGACCTTTTCCACTGTAAGAGAGATAAAATTGAAAAGTTTGGTCACAGCTGTCCTGCCTGGGACAAACAATGTTGCTATTCTTCAAGGAGTGATACAAAATGCACTTTCCCAGAATTCGAAAAGGGTTATTATTTGTCCAGTATTTTAAGGGAAACAAAAGGACCTATCTCTTAGGTATTTAGCATCTATCCTCAATACTTTTAGGTGTCAATCTAATCCCTATGAGAATTTAATGTTTACTTAATTACACTATTTTCTTCTTTTAGTGGGAGAATAAATGTTTTTTGTTTGTTTGTTTTTATACTTTGGTTTATGGTATCACAACAGAAAAATTCAAATGTGACCAGAAAAGCTTTTGAAATGCTCTAAATGAGATTTTCTTAACAGAGGGAACATTCCACTATGTCTAGTGGGATTTAGCATATAGAATCTGTTAATAGAAGTCAAAGTAATTACCTTAAAATGATAGTGATTTATTCTTTTAAACATGCTTTTATGTCCATTACATCATTTGATCTATAGCCTTGTCAGACACAGCATGGAAAGGTAAAAATTTTCAAAAGCATATCTTTTCCCATCTCTTATCTCAACTACCATTTCTACTGAGATTTTTGCTCACATTTATCCTTTTGTTTTTAATTAGGTGTGAATATCAAAGCCCTTCCTCTTACAGAGGTTGTTTTTTTTCTGTTTTTCTTTTTCTTTTTTTTTTTTTGCGAACTGCGCGGCTTGTGGGATCTTAGTTCCCGGACCTGGGATTGAACTTTGGCCCCCAGCAGTGGACGCATGGAGTCCTAACCTCTGGACCAGCAGGGAATTCCCTGTTATCCAAACTTTGATTTCATAATTCTCTGACTTTTACTCCTTCACCTGAGCCTTAAACGTAGGTGTTCCTTAAGATTCAGTTCTTGGTTCCTCTTTCTTTTTTTAATTATTATTTTAAAGATTTTAATTAATTAATTAATTGATTATTTTACCATGCATACTCTTCCTTGGCAATCTTATTTACTTGCAGGGTTTCCTTCAATTGTCACTTTCACAAGATGACTTCTAAATGCATGTCTCCAGCACTGACCTCTCGCCTGAGAACTTGACTTTCCAACTCTGCTAGACACACTTCTATACAGATTTCATGGAGGAAGCTATAGCTTAGCGTATCTCAACTCAAGGACATTAAAAGAAGTCTAAGATCAAGCTCAGAGATAGACAAGTTTGTGTGTTTGAGCTGGTGTTTGAATATGCTGCAAAGGCAAATCAAATAAATTTAGATTTTCCATTATTGTATATTAATCAATATTTTCTATCCATTAAACTTGGCCCTCAACTTTTAGGTCCTACGTATGCAAAAACTGAAGATAATTGAACACTATTTTCAGTATTCCAAACATTTCATAATATATCATCTTAAATTTCAAAAGGTTAAAAAAAGATATAGAAACTGTGCTCCTCCGAAATGGAAATCAGTTTTCTTAATCAATTTGATACCGTTCTTTAAAAATCACTCGTGAACAATGAGTTGGCAGGTCCCAGTGAATTCCATCCAGATTCCTAAAGGCTGGTGACAATGGGTTAAATTGGTCTTTCAACATAAAGGTGTATTTACCAAGTCAAAGGCCACTAATATTTGTCAAAGGTCATTAGACAAGGAAGTACAAATTAAGAAAAGATCCTGAGAAATTTGGTAAATTCTAGGTGGATTCAGGAATTCTGGTCATTTTATGGGGAATTTAGCGGTAAAACCTGTAGAACTGGAGGGAACTTTCCAAGTTGTCACTTACCTTCCTGTAGCCTTACAAAGTTCTAAGAGAATAATCAATGCAGGGTCCTAAGGCCCGGAAGCCAGACTCTGGAGTATAGTGATACTCCTCTATGGGGACACTTCGACTCAATCCATCAATCTGAGCTCCCTGGCAAGCTACGATGTCAAGGCACGAAAGGGGGTATCTTCTATGCCTTTAAATGAATAGTCTCATATTTATATAGTAAACACAAAAATATGAGATACATTTTGTTTGTTGCTCTTTAATTGGGAAGCAAACGTAGGTAAAATCATACCGTGAGAGAGGTTAACCCAGTTTAAAACAAATAAACCGCAGCCCTGACATTTCTCTACAAGTGACGCTGGGCCCAAACCGCCCGCCTCGTGGGGGTGGGGGCCGGAAGGGCGCGGCCGGGAGCGGAGCGGGTGGGGCTGGGGGGCGTGTCCTCGAGGAGGCGGAGACAAGATGGCCGCCCTGACCGCTTGGAGGACCTAAGAGGCGGTGGCTGGGGCCACGCCCCGGGCGGGAGGGCCTCTCTGTGCGCGCCCGCTCTATGATGCTTGCGCGCGTCCCCCGCGCGCCGCGCTGCGGGCGGGGCGGGTCTCCGGGATTCCAAGGGCTCGGTTACGGAAGAAGCGCAGCGCCGGCTGGGGAGGGGGCTGGATGCGCGCGCACCCGGGGGGAGGCCGCTGCTGCCCGGAGCAGGAGGAGGGGGAGAGCGCGGCGGGCGGCAGCGGCGCTGGCGGCGACTCCGCCATAGAGCAGGGGGGCCAGGGCTGCGCGCTCGCCCCGTCCCCGGTGAGCGGCGTGCGCAGGGAAGGCGCTCGGGGCGGCGGCCGGGGCCGGGGGCGGTGGAAGCAGGCGGGGGCGGGGG